CATGTTAAGCTTATATTAAAGTTTTTCTTCATTACCCATTTAAGCCGTCTCCAGCCATTAAAAGGCAGTTAGTTCAGGCAATACTATCATGAGGTTGTTGATATCAGGATTGTTAGCATGCACTCATTGCTTTGAGAGTAAAGAAACATACACTGTTGCTTCAGTTATCTGTGCTTGTTTGGGGATGCAGAAAATCATGGATAACAGAAACAATGGATAATCGAGGCATTATTGGATCTCAGTAGGTAGCCCCTTGTTTAATCTAAATAAAAAATTTCAACATATTTAAGTTCCTTGTTTTAAATTATAATGTTTTTACTGTTCTTTAATCACATTATCATGTAAAAGTCATCACAATTATGGTTATAAAAGCCAAGTGTTGGTTGGTTAGTCGGTTGGTCATGTTTGGTACATTTCCTGAGTTTTTGGGCTGGCTCTTAGTTCTGAAAATATTTGTCAAGGCCTGCCCTAACCACGAGTCCTATTTCTACTTGCCATTATACACATTTTCCTCCTCCTATTTAATTATTACTACTCTTTCCTTCTTTGTCCTGGTTATTCTTTCCTTCCTTTGTATTCCATAGCGAGGGAAAGTCGTTCCTCCTTTTCTCCCATATCCATTACTTAAATTTCTCTTTTCAGTGTTATTTCTGTTCTGGACAGACACTCTTGTCCTGTCCTGGTTGCTCACTGTTTTTTTCACACTCTTCCTCCTTGTAGTTTCTCACTGTCCTTTTGTAACTGGGACCTCTCTCTACATTCTCTCTTTACCCCATTATTTACCCCTGGCCCAGTCAGTACCCGCTGTGAGATGCAGTGTTGCACAAGACCACTGGAGTTCTACTCATGTTATTTATATAACTTTTCTCAGTTTGATCCAGACTTTACCCATTCCATGGACTTTTGTGGAAAAAAAGCCAGCACCAGAGTTGTGCATCTGCCCACTTCTCTGGCTAATGCTTGCTGGCTTTTAAAAATAGGGTTTCATGATTACCCATTGCATTGTCTCCATTAAAATGCCTTTTCAGAGTGAAGGACCAATGGGTATCTGGACACATTCACTAGGTCTCCCCTGAGTTAATCTCCCCTTTGAGTGGAGCATAGGAAACCCTTGTCACTTACCAGCTCCCAGCTGCTAGGGTGGTGGACCATGGAGAATCCTCATCAATGAGACTTGACTGAAATGTTGGGCAGGGGTGTTTCCAGAATGTAGTATGAATCACCCCAATCATCGAGTGAATTGTGGACACACATCTCACCTTTACCTACTCCTGCAAGGACATGACCCCACCTATTATGCTGGTGGAGTTATTGATAGTTCTTAATATACAACTGTGATGAATTGCTCATCAACCCTACTCCCATCACTGGCAAATGGCATGTAGAGTGGTAGTTTCATAAGTATACTTATTAGTTGTGTCCATTGTGATGTTCTCCTCCTGCAACTGGCATGTGCCCTCCTCCAACAGCTGGTATTGACCCATAGAAACATATGGTACAATCTGAATGCGCCCCAACCTTACTACATATTTTAGCCGTATGACAGCTTGTATGTAAGCTCTTGGATAGTCGTGTACATATTTTGCCTATCTTTGCAACACCTTTCAAGGCTTCTCACTTCACCCTGTCCTTCACTCAGACAAATAGTATACCCTAATCGATGTGAAATGTGATCTCCCACAGATATGCACCTATGGAACCCCATGGGCTTCCTTTTGGCACTCTCAAAAGGAGGCTCATTTAGCTAATTTCTTCACCAGTTCCTTTACCTCTTCAACATGGGATTCTAGCTGATCTGTGTAGGGAGGTGATTCATTGTATCAGAAGTTAACATTTTCCTTAATTGAAAATGTATTTCTGATAGATACTCACCTTGGTACATGTTCCCATCCTTCCTTCTCACTTTCTTGGCCTTAAAGAGAATTTTCCACGTGAATTTAGAGAGAGCATTTGCCCAGGGAGATGTGTCACATTCCTATTCATGGATGGTTTTGCTGCATGACATGTCATTAAGCAGTAGTGCAGTTTCACATGAATTTTAGGTGGGAGTTTAACAAGGCTTGTGGCATGCAAGTTTCTAAGGCAGTATAGTGTGACTACAATAGGAAAATAAGTGATCTGTGTACAGAGATAAGTATCTATCAGAAATACATTTTTAGATAACACTCTTGCTACAGGCATCTTTATTATAATCATATAGAAATATACTTGGCATCAAAATATAACTAATAATCCAAATTTTGATATTATATAAATTTCAAGTTCTTAATTTTACAAGGCATTATTAAAGAAAACTTCTGAGCTGGGTAAGAAAAAATTGGGAAGTTTAAAAAAAGATAAAGTTTCTGTGCAAGATAATATTTTCCCAAGGGTTTTGAAGGAGGTTAAAGATTGGATGTGTGAGCTACTTAGTAATATTTTTTGCCAGTCCTTGAATAGTGGGCAGGTACCAGAGGAGTGGAAGTTAGCTAATGTAACTCCTCTTTTCAAGAGAGGTGATAAAAATTGTCCCAGTAATTATAGACCCATTAGTCTTACATCAGTTGTGGGAAACGTCTTGGAAAGTCTGTTAAAAGATGTTTTGCAAAGTCATTTAACAAAGTTTAGAATATTATTGGATAGTCAACATAGTTTCACTATAGGAAAATCTTGCCTTACAAATATGTTGACATTCTTTGAAAAGGTTGCTGCTTATGTAGATGTGGGTAAAAGTTCAGATTTGGTGTATATAGATTTTCTCTAATGGAGTGGGGGATAAGTTAGCAAATTGGATAGAAGAGTGGCTGGAAAGCAGAGGATTGTTACAAATGGAGTTCAGTCAAACTGGATTAATGTCACAAGTGAGTCACCTCAGGGCTCAACCTTGGAACCTTTGCCCTTTTTGATTTACATCAATGAAATAGATGAAGGAAGAGTCAATACATTACTTAAATTTGCAGATGATATTAAGGTCGTGGGTGTTGTTAGTTTACAAAAGGATTTAGATCATTTAGTGAGTTGGCCAAATAAATGGCAGATGG